GTAGCGTCTAACTCGTTCTGCCTGATGCAATCCTGGATCCAGACGGGCTTGACGATGTTGTTTGTTGCGCGTTTCTCCAGCGAGGCCACTTTGATTAGTCGCTTGTCTGCGACGATGATGAGGTTTTTGTCCATGGAGTCGCGTTGGACGATTTTGCCGCCGTTGGCTTTCACTAGGGCTTCGAGATCTGCTTTTGACTTTTTTGTTGGGGAGATTTGCTCTGTCATTATGAAGAAGGTTAGGCCTTCGAAGACCTTGGATGCTGGGCCTGCGTATGGTGTTGTGACGGTGTCGTTGCCGACGACTGTCAGTGGCTTCTTCGTTGTCCTGACCTTTTTCCTTCGGGATTGTTCAATCTTGAACTCTGTTTCTTTTTCAGTCTTTTCCGTTTCCGCTCTGTTCTGTACTTCCAGCCACTCCGATACTGAGAGCGCCTGGTCCCATCGCTTGTCTTTCTTAAGTTTTTGGAAGCGGGGAAAGCGAAGCGTGTATCCCATACGGAATTTGTCACTATTTTCCACACTTGTTGCTTTGCACTCCAGTACAACGGAATCGCAAGGTGCAATCCATTGGTCTGGCTTCTCGTATTGCCGGTTCTCCTTATGGCCGCCCAGCTGGATGAATGGAGGCCGATATTTGACATTCCAATCAGTCCACTTACCTTCCGTTCGACTCCTTATACTAGCGTACTCTTCGGAGGTGAATCCACCACCGACCTTGAAAAAGGAATAACACATTGGGTTGTCGGCCACTATCTTTTTCTTGTCCATCAAAGCCATGAGAAAGGATGAGTGGGCGCCACCGCGATGCCCAGTGCCAAAGTATCCGCCGATAACGATGCAGTCGAGCGACTCGCCGTACTCTGACATGTATTCTGGCTTCACCTTCATCCAGTCGTTATTCCGTTGATTGAGACAGTACATGGAGCGCGGATTCTTTAGCACCAGGCCCTCGGATGACTCTGCAACGACCTTCCGTAACTCCGGTTCAATCTCGGTATGCGAGCGCGCCTCGATGTAAGGATGAATCTCCAGGCGACGTTCTATGCCCCTGACGGCACTCTCGAGGGCGCGACGTCGATCGCGTAGCGTGTACCGCGTGAGTGATTTGTCGTTCAGATAGACGCAATCAAACACTCTGAACAGTGGCCGCTGACCAGTTTTCTTGTCGGTTTTGTTCTCTTTCTCAGATATAGCTGCCGTCTTGAGTGTACCGAAGCCCACGATGTGGTCCCTCTCCATATCCCAGGTAATCATCTCCCCATCAAGGATAATGTTCCGTACGTTCTTTCCGAAGGCGTCTTCGATGAAACGTGTAAGTGCACCGGCCTCGTCGCCTTCGAAATGTCTGCCGTAGAGGTATGCGTAGTCTTTGGCTTTACGTGACCAGAATCCAAAGGTCCTTCCGCCGGGTGCGTCGGGATCTTCAATCATATGGAGCTGCATGCGCTCCCCGTCGAGCTTCTCTTCAATCCAAAACGTATCATCGTCCGCATTTGCTTGGAAACGGTTCACCAGTTTCTCAAAGTTGCCTACTTTGTCCTGAAACTGAGCTAGCTGTGGCTGGAAGCATTGCATCAAGCTCAGCTCAGCGCTCTCGCCCGCCAAACGGATCTCCGGGTCGAAGAGCTCCCAGCACACTCGCCGTAGATTTGACGAGATATTAAACAGTGTCTCCGCGTCCGGATGCCAGATGTCGAGGAGCGTCTTCTCAGTAGCGCCGATCTTCATCTGACGGAGGATCATACGGATGAGCCAGGTCATCTCCTCCGCATTCATCCTTCGGTAAAATCGCTTGAATATCTTGACTTGCTCCTCTTCTGCACCAACCTGCGACAGCCTATCCAGAGCATTGTTGACTTCGGCGATGCTCATGTCGCTGTATTCGGTCTTCATCTGCCGCATTGACAAGACATCGTAACATCGCCCAGGAAAGTCGCCCGCAGATGCATTCGAAGCTGAGCTGAGCTGACTGGGTAGCTTCCATTGCGTCATGTGTAGGGCATCAATAGATTTGGGTTCCATGCTGATGCACTTGATCAAGATCTTGGCAATTGCCGTCTCTTTCAGACCGTACATGGCCCGATCTCTGTCCTTTTCGGGGATCATGAGACGCATTGCGGGGTAGAAGTCGTTACCAACTTCCTTTCGCCAATTTGCAATCTATCTTTCGATGATGTTGCGTTTCGCTTCGTGGGGTGACAGGTTGGAGTGTCCGTGAGGCCCGACTCTTCGACGAGCTCCCACAGGCTGCTTCCTCTTCTGTGTTTCCATGAGTGGGTTGAAAAGGTCCGTGAACAGGGTATGGAAGCGGGGCGTCTTGTGGAGGTTCAGCGGCCGGGTAGGGTACTTGTCGTCGAGCTCATCGTCATGACCATACATGAGCGTGTTCTCCCTAACCGCCTCCTCATCCGGCATTGGTATATCTTCGGCCATTTTGGGTGCATTGGAGGAGTGAGTCGACGGGTGTAAGGTTTGTTTGTATATGAAGGCAGGGTCGTGGTTGCCTGGAACCCACATTACGCGTGATCACGTGGCTGTCAGGCTGCAACGAGCTAGCGCATCTCCCAAGGCGTCACCCATGCCGGTGGGTACCTACGCCGTGATTCACAAGGCTGACGATACTAATCTTGGAAACTGGGGGAATTGCGACTCCACAACACTCGTTTTCCCTTTAGTCCTTCGTTTCTTTGCTTTCATGTCGCGCCAAAACACCTTTTCAAACCGCACTACTGTCCCCTAATAGTCCGTATACGTCATTATTACTCACCATCCAATGGACCGTAAATGAGCGCTGCACGTAAGCAGGGCTGGGTCCCGCAGTCGACCGGCGACACCCAACACAATGTACGGGATGCTGCGCTACGAGGTGCTGCTCGAGCCTTCTCCAAACCTCCCGCGAAACCGAAGCCCTTGGTGAACACGTATACTGGGGGAGACAATGGGGCTTTGCTCGCTGCAACCAAAGTCGGCACAGGCAATCCGGCATCCTTGCGGAGGGACCATACCGGTGGTTCCGTAGGCGTCAGTAAGCCGAACCTATCCCATTCGAACAGCACGACGTCGCTGAGCGTGCCTGACGATCACCCCGACCGCGTCTCGTCGCCTTCGAATATCGCGGCACGGCTTGCGGCGGCTCGACACAGCCCTCTGAGGCCTATACCCCAGACCAAGGCCGTTGTTCCGCCCGCCATGAGCGAACAGCAGCCAAACGAGCGGGATGCACTGCCTCCCTCGGGCAGCGTAGGGAATGTGCTTGCGAGACTGGAGTCTCAGAAGCCCACACAGCAGTCGCGGAAGAGGAGAGACAGCCTAGAGTCACCTGCAGCGGCGCGCAATGCCCGACGACCAGAGCCACAACACAAGGCTACGGACGAGACACCCATACCGCCAACGAATTCGCTGGTGAAGATGTTTGAGCAGGCGCGACCCAGCACACCCACGAAGCAGCCTTCCGCACCGATACGCGTTGCGCAGAATTCACCACCCCCTGTGAAATCGCCCAAGCCACAACGTGCGTTCAAACTGCCTCCCGAGCCGAAAGATGATGCACCGCTGCAGAGAGTCAGAACGCAGACACCGCCGCCCGTCAAGCCGAAACCGAAGCACAAGATCCAGCTGCCCCCACAATATGCTGATGGCAGTAGCGATCAGGCATACTTCAATACACCCAAGAAAGACCCTCTCAAGTCTCCCCCAATCAGACAGAAGCCGGTGCAGTTGGCAGCAATCAACACATCCACGTCTCCGCCCTCGAAGCCGCCTCAGAGGGGTTCGCGGCAAACACGGCCAAAGTCTGAGGACACTACGCAGTCATCGTCCAAACAGCGCCGCAGAGTGTCTGCGTCTGTAGAAAGCTATCAGTCACCGTCGACACCCACATCTTTCAAATCAGCAAAAGAAGACCAGGAGGAGGAAGAGAAGCCTCGACCTGCTTTACCTCCGCCGCGACGATCGACCGCACGGAAAACCGACCCTGCGCCGGCTGCGAACAAACTCCAACCTTCAGCCCCGATACAGATCAAGCCTCGCACCCAGAGCCAGAACCCAGCCTCGATGGCTCCATTACAGAAGCTTTCGCCTCCGCGTCGACCAATGTCAGCCAACAGAACAGGGTCGCCTTCAGTGTACCATAACAACTACCAGCGAGAATCTGTCAAGCAGATCACGCAGCACATGACTGGCGAGTCTCTGTCGAGCGCCATAATGGGCGCCGCCCTAGCCTCCCATTCTCGCAACGTCTCGCCGGCACCTCGGCCGATGTCAGTCGAGCCTCTTTTCCCGCCGCGCAAACAGCATCATCACCACTCGCCCTTCCACCGATCGCCCTCGCCGCCCAAACAATCCCCACCGAAAAGCGCCGGCAAGCTGCGAACTACAATGCGCAAAGAACCGTCATCCTCCGATGAGGAAGACAACAAGGTCGACAAATACAAGAAGAAGGGCACACGCATTATGGGCATCAAGGGGCGGAAACACCCGAATAAGCACCATGAGGGGACACGAAAGCGATGGCGCGACCAGATAACCGAACGGGAGCGGAAACGTTATGAAGGTGTATGGGCTGCCAACAAGGGTCGTCACATACCCTCCCCGGATAACGCACCACCTGACGACGACCCATCAGCCGATGTGCTGAATCTTCTTGTCAAAGAGATCTGGACGAGAAGTCGACTACCCACACACGTGTTAGAAGAAGTCTGGGACCTAGTAGACAGTAGAGGTGTCGGAAGGCTGAGCAGATACGAGTTCGTCGTGGGCCTATGGTTGATAGACCAGAGACTCAAAGGACGGAAGTTGCCCGTCAAAGTTAGCGACAGTGTATGGCAGAGCGCCAGGGGCGTAGGGATTAAAGTCAAGATCAAGCATTGACAATAGAGTAAACGGAGACGAGATTTAGAGAAGCATTGGCATGGCGTTGGACTTGATTGTCACTGTAGATCCTAGAGATACCCCTAATCGTAGTACAGTTTGTTTCCTTTGTTGATATGCACACTATAATCATCTCTCTTCTTGTGTCTGTACTGCAGTCTTTTCTGCCATGCTCAGCAAGCCAGCGCTTCGTACGAAATTCGCGGTACTCCAAAACCCGCCGCTGAAGTCGAGATCGTACCAGTAGTTTACTGCGCAACAGATCCCTTCTTCGTTGCAGCTCTGGCTCACTTTGTGGTACCATAGTGCGGGTAGGTACAGCATGTCGCCTTCTTCCAGCGTGACTCGGAGTGGTTGCGAGTATTGCGAGTAAGGCGTAGTGTTCGTAGCAGGCTGATCAGGATCCCATGTCGCGAAGGGTACATATTCTTCCGGCTCATCGACCTTGATAACCAGATCATCTTGCTCAAGCGCACTGTGAGCTGAACCATCCTCCCGTTTCGGAGTGTAAGTCGCAGCTAACACGCTCTTCTCATTAACACAACCCGCTTCTACAGGCGGCAAAAGAACGAAATGCTTCTGCCCCAGTATCTGCACGTAGATGTTCTCGTAGTTGTCCTTGTGCAGAGCAGTCGTGGAATACGAGTTTCCAAGCCAGAAATTGATGGCGTCGGGTTCTTGCTCAAGGGCTATACGCGCAAAGGGTATGCTCTTGGGTACGTCTGCGAAGAGCGTGGAGTATTCGTTACGTAGATTGTCGTTTTGAGTTTGCGCGTAGCGTGTTGGACCGCTGTAGTCGGCTTCTTGCTCTTGGCGTTGGATCTTGTTGAGGACGTCTTCAAAGGGCTCTTCGGTCTCATACGGTTTGACGAATATCGCGCCATCTGACGGGAGGGAGACGACTGAGTCGGCGTTCCCGTGTGGGGTGATTGCTACGTTGACGTTTTGGCCTTGCATCGCGGTTTTTAGGTACGAGGCATTCCATGCTTTTCTGGCTTTGAAGTCTTTGGCTCCGTTTCGTATTACGAAGGGTCGGTTGCGGGCGACGTGGCGCATGAATTGTAGGGGTGAGGGTTCAGTGGTGAGGATGTCGATTGTTGAGGGGTTGAGATCGTGGTAGGATGTTATTAGGTCTGATTGAGATTAGTATTAGTGGCGATGCAAGATCGTAAGATACATCGAAATGCTCCATGTTCAGTACGACGTCTGGGGCATATGATGTGAGAATGAGAAATCGCCAGAGGAACTAGCCGCACGATTTGCATCGTGCTATTAAGCACTCAGACAATAGAATGATATGGGGTTGATAGTATGAAGAGGAAAAGGAAGCACCTCTTACAGCATCTTGCAACGTCCCTTCCGCATCGAGACCAGTTGGTGCAGGCCTTCACACACAATCAGTAAGAGAGAGCACAATGATCTCATCCATGACACGCTCACCGCAAAGCAGCCTGCTCTGGACTTTTCAGTCCCATCACTTCATCTCCAGTCTGACCCATGTTTGCGCGTTCACATGAGGTAGCGCAAAGTTCGTGAAGTGGGATGCGTTATCGGGGTTAAGGTCTTCCTAGCAACGGGCCTTGCTCTTTTGGGACTAGCTTTTGTGTTGTACTCAGCCCTGGAGATTTTGGTGTTTTGCACAAAGTGCGCGCTTTTAGAGTATAATCTACGTACTGTAAAACAATAAAGAAAATGATAATATGTTCGGACTATGGTTGACATTGTGGCCGAGTTGAGGCATTCAAAAACTTAGAGAAGAAGTACTTAGTTCCCAATCGCCTGTGGATTCCAAAATACCTTGTTTGGATCTACCACTTTCTTAATCGCACTTAGCTTTCCATAAGTCGCATCACCATAGTACAATCGATGCGCCTCCGCTGGTGTCAGCTCTGGATCCAGATAATTCGGGTATGCCAAAAAGTCGCCATCGGGCTGTGCGTCTGTCAAAGCGGTATTGAGTCCTTGCACGAACGCTTTGATACCAGACTCAAAAGGCGGAAGCATATTGGCCGAGGAACCAATATTCTATCAACAACGAGGTTAGCCAGCTGTTTAGAGAATACTGCCCGATAAGTGTTGTCTGGAGGGGAGAGGAGAGGAGTTTACCTGAAAAACCCAAAGCGAATCCCGATGCGAGTACGCCGCACTATCAGGCGATGGAACATTGATCTGGCTATCCCTCCCGCCATACAGCGAGATATACGTCTCCCATGGGGACTCCGCGCTCAAACCCTTACTAATGACATACCCAGCAAAGCTTTCCAGTGCGCGACGTGTAAGTGGCTTTGCCTCTCTCGTAACAATAGACTTGGTGTAGAAGGTCTGGTGATTGTTGTAGCCAGTCAAAGGCTCAACAAGAGGTTCGCCTTCTGCGATATCCTGCAGCGCATCGAGCCAGCTTCTGGTCGCGATCGTTGTGTTGTCGGCCTTGGGCAAACCCTCAAGCATGGCGGGAAGTACGGCGCTGGAGAAGTGTGTGCGGTCGCCAAAGTACCAGCCTCGGACTTCGAAGGCGCCGAATATGTTCATGTAGATCTCAAGTGTGATGTTACGGTCCATGAGGGGAGAAGATTGGGCAAACTTCTGCAACTGGAGAAGGACGTCGGCAACGGAAGTTGAAGACTTCAGCGCGGAAGTGAAGTTCATGGAGTAGCTGACGATCTGTGCCGGAGCGGGCTGGGTCTGCAGGTAGAAGGTAGTCACAATACCGATGCTGTCTGCAGCTCCACGCAGCGCGTAGTAGAGTTCGGGATGGGTAGTGCGTGTGACGTGAAGTTGAGTTCCATCGGCCAGTACGACATCCATTGCCACGATCGTGTCGAGTGCAAGCCCTGAACAGCATTACGATTAGTTAGGGTCGTCACATATATTTGCAAGATAGCGGTTCTTACCCCAGCGACGAGAAGAGTATCCGAAGCCTCCATGCGTATAGTGCCCTCCGATGCCAACGCCCGGGTATGTACCGTGAGGCAATGCGGCCTGACCTTGCTTGTATACACCTAACCCGAGGTTTCCGAGACGCACGCCGCCTCCTGCTCGAACGATACCAGTACCTTGTGACCTGTTAGCAAAGATCATGAAGGAATGAGTAAGCTGCCTGCCTTTATCTAGAGATACCTCGTTAAACTTCTGTAAATCGATCGTCAAGCTACCATTCTTGCCGCCGAGAGAGTAGCTCCCGTACGAATGTCCTCCAGACCGGGGCTGAACTTTGATGCCAGCTGCAGCTGCGCATGTTATTGAATCGGAAACTTGCTGCGGAGTTTCTGGTATTGTCACGGCCACTGGGGTGTACTGGAGACGGAGGTTGAATGCGGTGGTGAGAGAAGTCCAATCTGAGGAGGAATTGAGAGTAGTAGGGACGGCTTTTGCGTGAAGGCAGTCCTGTAAGGCTTGATGTTGTCGATTGACCAGATGGTCTCGCGGATCAACGAAATCAGCGATGGCGTTCGATACGAACAGAAATAGTAGAGATGTTGAAAGCATGTTTTCAGTCAGTTGCTCTTTTGCGACTATACCTCCGGGTTCCTGGTACTACATCTTATACAAGCACTCCACCAGCACTACATGCCAAGTCCACCGAGCTCCGGAAACATAAGGTCATACCAATACTATCTGGTCCTCGCACTTGCGAAGCAACCGAGCAAGCAATTGCCCGTTCCAATCTCGTAACAATTTCCGGATGAAGCTGTTTGCTAGGTTTGGCCAAGTGTCGAACTTCTAACGAGAGTTAGCTAGAGCAACACGTAAGACGATTGGTGAAATGCAGTGGCTTTGCCTGGGGCATTGCGACGCAAAATCCCTGTTATGACGCGGAATCGGTACTGACGATGAAGGCATGTCGGCTAACACGATGCCAAGTCCTCCGACGGTAACTTCCGAAAACCTGATAGCGCTTTCCCATGCAAGAAGTCCACCACAAGTCAGCATCTTTGACCTCGATGATGGTCTAACAACAACACCGCGCCAGCATTGTGGACCGCCGCGGGCACGCCATCACAGACAAAAAATGCTAGAGCGATAGTAAAGCTCAGGATCCGATTGTAATGCCGCCACCATGGAGCACCCTCAACCGCTCCGGCTTTGTCCAAACCCTAGGCCGCAAGTACTTGCAACGCTATGCTCCGAATCGATTTGCTGATACACCAATAGGTAGCGCGCTCACCGTCGCAAAAGGCTTTGTCTTCCTCCACGTATGCTCGTCCTACATTGGCGGCATATCCTCCACCAGCGGGATCTCCATGGTGCCTACGATCCCCCACCATTATAAGGGCCACCCATGGATACTATACTCGTCGCTTCATCGTCGCGGTCGCAACCTCCGCGTTGGTGACATCATAACCTATAATCATCCCATATTCCCCAAGCAAAGTGGGTGCAAGCGCATCATTGGGATGCCGGGCGACTTTGTCAGTATTGTCACGCCTGGGCGCGGGGAAGATGATGTACACGCGGTGGACCATGAGGGGAAATGGGCGAGCGTAAGGGAGGAGGTCATAAGAGTTCCAGAAGGACATTGTTGGGTACAAGGCGATAATCTGGAATGGAGTAGGGATAGTAGACTGTTTGGACCGCTGCCGTTAGCGTTGGTCAAGGCGAAGGTCTTGGCTGTTGTGCGGCCGTACGGGGAGGCAAAGTGGATTAAAAACGAACGTGATGTTGTGGATGTGAGGGAGGGGGAAAGAGAGTGGGTGTTGAAGTAGAAAGGAGTATCACGGGAGGAACAAAACAATACTGGGGGGTAGTATACTAGGGAAAGAGTTGTTCAGTCGAGGCAAGCTATATACCCAAGGATCCATCTGAAGAGCAAAAGAAAACCGACAACGCATCAATACGTCGAACAAGCCACATTATCAATTATTGTCATTGGCTTGCCTTCCAGGCCAAAACAAGTTTCGAATCTCATCATCCTGTTCATTCATCATTTCCACAGTGGCCAGCTCAGCAGCAGCTTGAGCGCGAACGCGCATGCGCGCCAAGTTCGACATGCGTGCAAAAGCGGCTTCATCGTGCAGCTGAGTCAGACCAGGAAAGCCATAATACTCGGTGATCTCTTCTTCTGGGACATCGTCGCCACGACCGGCCAGCAATGCGACACGACGGGCTCGTGCTAATCTACTCGGCGCGATATCGCGTGCTGGGGCGATAGGTTCGGTAGTATGTTGTGGTGGAGCCGGGTATGTGGTTCTCCCAATGATAGGGCCTCGAGCCGCAGACTGCGTAGGTCGTGGGGAAATGTTGTTGTTCGCTGAGGATTCTGGCGTCTGGCTGGTCTGCCCCCTTGAGACTGCCTCCATCAACGCCCTGTTTTCTTCCTCCAGTCGCGCTGCCCTCACTCTGGCTAAATACAACCTCGCATCGACACCAACAACTCGGCTGCTGGGGTTCGAATTATGTGAGGATCTGGCTTCTTCAGCGGCTTCTTCAGTGGCTCGTAAGCTCGCCATAGCTTCAATGCGTGTCATCCTGATGCTGGGGACATCTGACGAGGCATCCGACGAGCTGTCTTCTCTAGCAGCCTGTCTAGCTAACATGCGTTGGCGTATGCGTGTCCTGATATTGGGATTCGATTCATCTGACGAGCTGTCTTCTCCAGCAGCCCGTCTAGCTGCCATGCGTTGGCGCCTGCGTGTCCTGATACTGGGAATCGAATAATCTGACGAACGGTCTTCCTCTGCGGCTCGTCTATCCAACTGTTGAAGCTCCTGTCTGCTGTCGCGCCTGATTCTGTTCAACTCTGCCAAGTTTCGCTCGAGGTGTACTGCTTCGGCACTGTCGTGTAGAAGCCCATCTTGAAGACGCGCCGCTTCCAGTTGTCTCATTTCTGCCACCGCTAAGTCATGCCTAGATTGCAGTCTAGCCCGTTCTTCTGCTCTTCCCGATGCCGTTGTCTGGTCGGCGGAGCTGGCTGCTGCTTCCAATTGTCTCATTTGAGCCACCGCTAAGTCTTGCCTAGATTGCAGACTAGCCCTTTCTTCTGCTCGTCCCGATGCTGACATCTGATCGGCGGAGCTGGCTGTTGGCCTACCACCTAAGGCGTGGTAAGCCGGTTGCCTACGAATTAGCTCTTCGATTTCTGGGGCTTCTCCATCCGCAACCATCTGTGACATTCTTTGCATAGTGTTCCTCCTATTTTCTGTGGAACGCACAAGGGCACCATCTTCAAGAGCCTCCTCCATACTACTTCTCCAGGGAGCATTTGGTGTGCTCACAGACTGGAATAAGACACGTTCTGAACCGGGCGGTAGCCTATCAAGCGCTGTGCGGGCCTCTTCATCCTCTCGTTCCTGCTCTCGTTCCTGAGCAGTCTGTCTCAGCCTTCGCATGAGTTCCCTACTTTCCGGAGTCATCTGTCTAGACATCTCAGCTTGGGTTCGCCTTGCCCATCCCCTGATGGACTCTGGTGTATTTGCAGAACGGATGTTGCGACGATCAAAGTTCACCGGTTCCGCATGAACCGATGTGCGGGTCGCTGCAGTCTGTCGTCCCAAAGCGGGCTGAGTCCGTCTAAGGTCGTTTTCCTCAACTCTTTCCGCACGCCTGAAGGCCTGGCGTTCTGCCTGCATTCTCCGCTCCATGATACCCTCTCGGGTGCGAGCATAGCTCGTTGATGGTGCTGGAGGCGCCGCTGCATACAGTTCACAGCGGCAGTTGGGACAAGTGCGGTTTCGTCGTCCATCGCCTTGGAGCCAGGTGAGCAGGCAGACAGCGTGGAACATGTGGCCGCATGGGCGAGCTATCTGTACCACATCTTCGGCCAGATGTTCGGCACAAATTGAGCAGTCTGATTCTTCGGGCTGGGGCCCTGCTGGTACGATGCCAGTCATGAAGAACTCTCCCTGGCTGCGGAGAGCGGGCATGTTGGACGGCGGTGTGGTGTTGGTCTGTGGGACAGCACGCTCGTTAGAAGACGATGATGTATCACTAGGCTCCGGAATTTCACGTCCGACGTAGGAGTCCATGTTCACGGCTGGGCTAGTTGAAACTATGAGTAGAGCTGGAGAGTCCAGTGTGGGTTGAGGAGATTATCTGTTGAAACCTGGCGGGCATCACACAATATAGGCTCCTCTTTATTAGACTGTGAACAGCATTGGACTGTGGCTGTACAGCACTGTGGCGAGATGGACATTCACAATGTAGGATCCTATGGGCAAGATCTATGACCTACCTCTTTCACTGCTTCTTCTGCGGTCTTGGGTGAAAGACCTGTCACAATGATCTGGGCTTTCGCGTCCTCAGGCCTTCACTCGCAAGTCTAATCAGGAACTGGGGCTGACAAACTAGACATTTGATCAATGATTTCTATTGTATTCGTTCGATGTCTACATCAAACCGTTGATGGCCCCGTTGAGGTAAGCCCAACATTGATAGCCAACGACTGATCACTGACACTAGCTGCACCATGAACATACCTTTTTCACCCCACTTCAAAGCTCAAGGGATCTTATGCATTGTCTCTTCGAACGCGCTCAAGCTTCAATCGTACCCAAATCGCCAAACCGCGCTCATCATTCTCCTCTTTCTACCATGCCTGATATCTCAACGTAACAAGTCTAGCTTGATGCCTCAGGGACATCGGCGCTATTTTCATCTTCTTGGGGCGATTCAGACCGTGCTTCACGAGAACGAAAGCGCTGTGTATCTGATGCAGCGGCCTCTTGTTCTCGCTGAAGAATAGAAGATGGCCTAGGACGCCCCGGGGGATGTTGCCTGAACGCAGTAGGATCTGTTGATGTGTTCCTGAGGGGTAGTGAGTCATCATGCATATGCCTTACGACAGTGCTAGATGCACGTCCAGCAAATGG